CCCAAGATCCCAAGAGGAGAAAGGAGGAGAAGGGATTGCAGCGTGGCCATCCCCTCTGGGGGGTGATTTCTCACTTTCTGTCTGTCTGTCTGTCTCTCTCTCTGTCTGGCAAGCGCATGTGCCCTACAGCAAAAACCTCTCCAAAAATAAAAAAAATATATACATGTGGGACCAGCAGTTGGCATAATGGCTATGTTGCTGGACTCCCATGTAGTCAACCACAGTTCGAGTCCTGGATCCGGTGGCTTAAACTCATACTGGGCACATGTGCATGTGTGCCCAAGATCCTGAGAGGAGAATGGAGGAGAAGGGATTGTGGTGTGGCCATCCCTCCTAGAGGGTGATTTCTTGCTTTCTGTCTCTGTCTCTCTCTGTCTCCCTAGCGAGCACATGTGCCCTATAGCAAAAACCTCTCCAAAAAAAAAAAAACAAACCCCACATTGGGTGGTGCATGTGCATGCATGCTCAGAAACCCAGAAGCAGGGAGAGACAGAGAAGGGACTGTGGCCATGTGCCATGGAGGGTGCTTTCTCTTCCCCACTCAGCAAATGCACACACTTTCTCTCAAAAAAAAAGGGGGGGGAGAATAAATCTGTATTCTCAATAAGCTCCCCAGTGGGGCTGGCCTAGGGGCTGCGGAGCCAGATCCCACATGGCAACTACACAGTCTGAATCTCAACAACAGCAGCTTGAAAGACACTGCAGGCATGGGTGCATATGTCCGTGCATGTGCCAAGTCCTGAAGGATGGAGAAAACGGAGAAGGGGTTGCAGCAAGACATGCCCTACTGGGGGTGCTTTCTTCCTCTCCCCAACTCTCTGACAAGTACATGTGCCCTTTGGCAAAATTCTAAAAAGGTACTGTTTTTAACATAAAGCTCCCCTTCGTTTAAAAAATAAAGGTTACGAAGCTGCTGGTCCCTGGGCAGGCAGACACTGTGCTCCAGCTGGCATGTGACTTCTGTACCTAAACCCAGGCCCCATAAGCACCACCTGGCCTTGGCACATCTGTCCTCTGGGACACCATGTCACTCCAGGCTGCAGAGAGCGAGCTCAGAGGTCCCCACCTCAGGGCCCATCTCTTACCTTCCTCTTCCTCCCAGCCAGGCTCTTCAGAGACGTTCTGCTCTGCCCGCTGCTTCAGGGCTTCCCTCCGGGCCTGCTCCTGTGTGTGGGGCGCAGACAGCAGGAGTCAGGGCCCTCCCCAGCCCTGATCCTAACCCCAGAGCTCTTGGCACCCTGTGTCCTTCTCTCCCCTCGGCAAAATCCAGCCTGCCTCCCCCACTGTGGGCCTCCCAGGGCTGGGCCAGCATACCTGCTCCAGCTGATGGATTTTATAGAAATACCGATGCCAGAATTCTGAGTGGGAAACAGCTGCTGGAACCTGGAGGGAGGGGGAAGTGGAGGTGAGGCTGAGACTGAGTGGTCATGAGGGCCTGTGCCCTCGCTTATCAGCCTGCTCCCTACATGCTGCTGGCTGCAGACACAGCACGTGGCTGAGCGGTGACAGTCTGGGTACTTCCACCCCACTGAAGTTTCAGCCAGCCCCATTTCCTTGCCCAGCATGGCCAAAGGAGAAAATAACTCCCACCAGGCTATGCTGGCCCGCCCACCTCTCAGCATTCTCTGACTGCCAGAAGCCCGGCAGATCAGCTTCTTCTGTGGGCGTTCTTGGCTCAGGACTGGTTGGCCTGGCTCCACAGGGTGTCCCACCGCTTGCTGGGTCAGATGACTCTCAGCGACTCCAGGCATGCTCCTCCCACCTCCCGACACCTCAAGCCCAGAGGTAGCTGAGGCCCTGTCAGCTGGGCCCTCACCATCTTGGTGTAGAGGGCCCGGATGGAGGGGCTGCCTACAAGGAGCTCTGAGATCTCCCCCTTCTTCTCTTCCAAGCAGAACTGGGACAGCCAGGCATCAAACAACTCCGGGGGCCCTGCAGACGGACAGATGCTGATGATCAGTTCCCGGGGCCCAGGGGGCGAGCTCTACGTACACGATATACCTAAGCTCTACCTGGACAGTGAAGGAGGCTTAAGGGTTGTTTCAAAGCCATTTTGCCCGGGGGGGGGGGTCACGCAGGGTGAAGGGGTGGATGGGCTAGGTGTGGCACCTGAGTGACCTCCAGGGGGACTGCAGTCTCCATTTCCTCAAGTCCCTGCTCACTTCCAGCCACCTGTGCCTGGCTACTGAGTCCCCTCCTCTCTGCAACAGCTGTTCCCAGGCCACATGACTCCGTGCTGCCAGACCCTGCCCCCTCGAGGACTGCTCCACGGCTCTGGACCCTGGGAACCCTGCCTTCCTCCCAAAGCCCTCTTCTCCCTCAGCTTCTTGCCCCTTTCCTCCCATTTCTCTGCGTGGTCAGCTGAGTCTTTGGGGCTTGTTTTCCTCTCCTCTCCTTGTCTCTTCACACCTCTCATTTCTCCCAGGATGATCTCCACTAACCCAGGAGTTCCGACCTCCTGCTCCCATGCACACTTCCTGTCTCTGTGCAGACCCCGCCGCCCCTCTGGCTCCAGCGCTGCGCTCCAGGAACCCCGATGCTCCCAGCGGCACAGAATCGTGTGTGCGGCTGCGTGTGCTCTCTCCTTCCCACCCCGCCACCCCTGGAGCCTGGGGCCATCCTGTGTCCCTCCTCCACGTCCTAGTATCGCCTTCCTCTTCACCTGCCTCTTCCCGGTTCCGGCTTGACCTCTGACGTGGAGACTCCTGCCAAGCCTCCTAACTGGTCTTCCTAGGTCATCCTTCCAACTGCTGCTCCAAAGGCTGCTTCACAAAATTCAAAATCTGATCACCCCAGGGCCTCAAAGCCTGTCAGCAGCTCTCCGTGGGAGGCCTTCTAATCTGGGGTCCATGGATGAGCTTAAAAGGATCAAAGAATTCCCACGCGAGGAACAAAATCTTAATAGAGGCCTGTCATCTTCATTACATTATAGGCCTTTGTGACTGAAAAGGTCTAGAACCACTACCACGAGCCTTTAAGGACAAAATTCAAACTGCAGACCTTGGAACACAAAGCCTTTCACAACCTGGCCCCCACCAGCAGCCCTGGCAGCCTTCACCCCTCACACACACAGTTTAATCCAAAAAGCGAGGGGCTCCCTGCTCCATCTCCGCCTTCTAACGTATTGTTGCCTTTGCTTGAACGTCCTTCCCCACCAGTAAAGTAAAACTGGCTGACTTCTCACTCACCCTTACCACCTCAGTTCAAGGGTCACTTCCTAGGCCGCCCAGGCTGGGGGTGGGTCCCCACTGCCCGTCTTTCTGTGGGGCACTTTCTACGCAAGCGGCTACTTTGCTGCACTCTGCTCTGTCACTGTTCCCTGTCTCTCAATAGCCAGTCCCTGCAGGGCTGGGCCTCACTGAGGGCCTGACTCATTTCTGGTCTTGGCGTGCTCGCAGGGGGCTTGCTACACAGAAGGGTCCCAGCTAACAGGGCTGAAGGGAAGGTTGGGCGGGGGCTGAGCTGATGGGAGAGGTGAGAGGGACAAAAATCACTGCCAAGGGGGGCAAAGCATGGTTCAGGGAGGAAAATGGAAACCCAACCTACGCCACAGGGTGGGCAGCACACATGGCCCCGCTCTGGCCCCTCTGCATAAGAGAGGCCTGGCTTCTGCTACCCGAGACAGGCAGGGCCCACAGCCCGGACCCCTGGCCTTCCCACCCCGCACTGCTACCCTCTCACCATCCGGTTCGTTGCAGTAGGTTGCCGGGTCGGACTGCAGACTATAGAGGCGAGCCTGGAAGAAGCAGAGCACAAAAATTCTGGGGTGCTGGGCACAGAAAGCACCCCTCGATCGACCACAACCCAGCTGTGCTGTGCCACTCCCACGCCCACGCTGCAGCACGAGGAGCAGAGCCCTCAGCGAGGGCCAGACCGGGCACCTGGACAGAGGTCTCTCACCCTGCACCCGCCACGGAGCCAGGGGGCACAATGGGAGCACACCGCGAGGCGAGGGAGGGCTTTACACCCGCGCTGGGAAGACTCAGAAGTTGAACACTGTTCTGCACATTTATGTATGAAGCCCAAATTTGGGGAGAAGTTGTAAAGTGATGCAATTCTCCCCTAACTAAAACCACTTCTCAGAATTTTTAAACTTTATACCCAGTCTGCCAAATGTTCCCACGAGAGCCACAGGGGGGCAAACTTTAGCTGGTCAACAGAAAGTCCCCCGTCCTTCCTCAGTGTGAGAACATGGGCTGTTTGTATCAGAACTTTCGGAAGTGATTTGGAGGATGATTTATTATGTTTAAAATCCTATTTAAACATTTTTGCAAGTTTGCGTACCTGCTCACTAAACGGTGGTGATGACGCTGGTATTGAAAAGATCAGTTCAGAAATTCAATGATAAAATGCTATGAAGGGGCCAGCAGGTGGTTAAGACATGGTGGTTAAGACACTAGACTCCATAAGACCAACACCGAGGTTCTGGTCCCAGACCCAGTGTGTGTGTGCTCAAAATCCTGAGAGGAGAATGGATTACAGTGTAGCCAACCCCCAGAGAATGTGATTTCTCACTTTCCCTCTTTTTTGAGGTTTTTCCTATAGGGCGCATGCACTTGCCAGACCGAGACAGAAAGCAAAAGTCACCCCCTAGGGAGGATGGCCACGCCGCAATCCCTTCTCCTCCCTTCTCCTCTTGGGATCCTGGGCACGCACACAGGCCCGGCATGAGTTTAAGTCACCGGGTCCGGGACTTGAACTGCGGTCAACTACATGGGAGTCCAGTGACATAGCCATTACGCCAACCGTTGGTCCCTCCCTCTTTCTTTGTCTTTCTCTGACAGGCACATAGCGCCCAATGGTAAAAACTAGGGGGGGCTGGGGAGAAGCTAGGAAGAAGGTCAAACTACCATGACACCATGCTGCAAATTTCGGAGAAAACGCTCCATGAAATCAGAGGCGTCAGATGAGAAAATGGAACACGGCAGAGACGTGCCGCCTTGGCTGCTGATTTAAGCACTGTAGACACTGCCCTCCAGTCCCATGAGAAACATCTGAAATGGCCCAAACGTGGCGGGGCGTGTGCTGCGGGCCCCAGCCACAGCAGCCCGCACTACGGCTGAGGGCTGAGGGCGCGAGTACACAGTGCCTTCCACAGCAGCCCACACTACGGCTGAGGGCTGAGAACACCACAAGGGGTGGTGATCAGGGAGGTGCCAATGGCTCGTCGTGATGTTCTTCTAGCCAGGTTATAGAGTTGAGTGTAGAAATGCCTTTTTGTTATTATAGAAAGAAAAAGCAAACAAACCTCAAGCTATGCTCACAGACCAAAAGAGATGGAAGTTTACACGCCAGTGAGCAAGCGGTAGGCTCTGTTCAGGTGAGGGAATAAGGGGCTCATCAGCACGCTCCCGTTTAGTCACAGCCGTGTTTCACCTCTCGATCCGAACACGTGCCGCTCTGCGAGTGCACGTGGAGCGGCAGCCCAGTGCTATGAGGCATGGGTAGGGGAGGCTGCCAGCAAATACCTTGGTGCCATCGTAGGGCTCAGCTGTGCCAGAGGGTGTGCCCATCAGGGTGATGACATCACAGTCGATCGTTTTGTCCGGTGAGGGGGCAAAGGTGTCTGAGATCACCCCTAGGAAGTCGGACAGCCCTTTCTTCATTTTCTCCGTCGCCCCTGAGGAGCCTTCAGCCTGCAGAGGGAACCGCAGAGGAAACGAGCGCCCAGGAGCAGGCTGCAGCTGGGTGAGGAGGTGAGGCGCCAGGGGCGAGGGTGTGCCCTGTGTGTGGGGTCCACCCTTTGCCCCACCTCGGAGCTGGAGAAGAGGAGTAGCCCAGGCCCATCTCCCCCAAGCTGGGGATGCAGAACAGGGTCACGGAGGCCTGTGCAGATTACGGCAGGTCCCTGACTGGCTGTTTCATCCGAACTTCAAGGCCAGAAAGGCTAATCAAAACTGGCGGTGGCCCAGCCCACGGTGCAGTTGGTAGTGTACTCAGCTGCAGTGCTGGGAGCCACATGGCCAGCCACAGCCTGGCTGATCTGAAACATGCCACATACATGTGTGCATGCTCAGGGTCCTGACAGACCAGAAGGATGGAGGAGGGGACTGGGTGCGACCAGAGCCTGGCGAGGGTGCTATTCCCACACTCTCCCCATCTCACATGTATGCATGTGCTCTTCAGCACGATTTCTTTAAAAAAATGGCTAGAGGGGGGCTGGCAGGTGGCATGGTGGTTAAGATGCTGGGCTCCCACATGACCAAGTACGGTTCAAGTCCTAGACCTGGCAGCTTGCTTTCTCGCTCTCCCGCTCTCTGGTGAAATAGAAGAACAATAGTAAATGAATAAAATTAAATAAATTTTTTTTTCCTTTTTTTGGAGAGGTTTTTGCTATAGGGTGCGTGTGCTCACTAGACAGACAGAGAGAAACAGACAGAAAGCGAGAAATCATCCCCCAGGGGGGATGGCCATGCTGCAATCCCTTCTCCTCCATTCTCCTCTCGGGATCCTGGGCACGCACGCACACGTGCCTGGCGTGAGTTTAAGCCACCAGGTCCAAGACTCGAACCTTGATCGACTACGTGGGAGTCCAGCGACATAGCCATTATGCTAACTGCTGGTCCCAAAATTAAGTAATTTTTTAAAATTTGGCAGAAGACCTATGATTTAGACATTTTAGTAGGAGGAGGACCTGAGTGGTGGTGGAAAAGGTTCTAGTGTTAAGAGTCTGAAGTGGATTAGAATTCCAGTTCTACCACCTGTTGGCTATGAGACCTGAACTCTCTCTTAATTGGAGTTATTCTATCTGGGAGATGCACATTAATGTATATCCTTGGGCTGGCTCAGGTGCAATAGTAACGTGCTACTCAAGCAAAGCTGGACCCACATGGAAGGCCAGGGTTCAGCTCTCCAGGCAGTCTGCACACAGCATGTGCATACCCAGGATCCAGGCTGCGGGGGTTACTGTGATGATCAAAATAAGTCAGGGGACCAGCCCCATTGCATAGTGGTTAAGTGTTGTGCATAGGGGATCCAAACCCATGTTCAAATCTTGGCCTTGGTGAAAAACACACATTCCAGGTGTATGCGTTCATGCCCAAAGTCCTGGCAGAGTGGGGAAATGGGGGAAAGTGGACCGTGGCATGACCGTGCCCATTGTGTGTGGGGATACTTTCTCTTCCTCTGGAAAACACATGCATCCTCTGGCAAAAAAAAAAAAAAAAGGTAAGGTATGGGCAATGCCTGGCACACGGCAACACTTAGTGAGTAGCAGCACCCTGCTATCACATCACCACTGCTCAGGGAGCAGAATATTCTGTAAGCACGGTTGGAGAAAATGAACAGGATGAGAACAGACAGCCCTGCCTGCCTGGAACCTGGGACCTTGCAGGGGTCAACGTATGGACCTGGAAGAACAAGCGGCACACCAAGCCTGAGCCACACTAGTCAGAACGCCCTGCAGCAGGCAGGGACGGGGTGCTGGGAGACAGCCAGGCTCTGAAACCACATGGGGAACTGTAACACTTACTCTGAGGTTATGCTGCCCAGGCACCTTAAATCTAGACCCTTGGTAATTTGGCACAGGTAAACAATCATATTTGTTGAATGAAAAAAGGAATAATGAATTAAATGAGTGGTTTCTTTGCTACCAGCTAGACTTTTTTTTTTTTTTCCCCTTTTTGGGGAGGTTTTTGCTATAGGGCACCTGCGCTCTCCAGACAGAGAGAAAGTGAGAAATCACCCCCCAGAGGGGATGGCCATGCCGCAATCCCTTCTCCTCCATTCTCCTCTAGGGATCGTGGGCATGCATGCACACACACCCGACGTGAGTTTTCTTAAGCCACCGGGTCCAAGACTCGAACTGCGGTCAACTACGTGGGAGTCCAGCGACATAGCCATTATACTAACTGCTGGTCCCGCAACCAGCTAGACTTAATAGCAATTAGCAGGGCTGCTACTGGCCACTTATGTTCATTAGTAACTGTAGTTAGCAGGCAGATATTATTTTACAAAACAAGCTTCACTAAAAAATCCCAGAACCTGTTTTTCATAACATGGCCTCTAATCACAAGGTCAATGATTCAGCTGGTGATCAAATGAAGAACCTGAAACCTTTCCAATGCTGAAGGAAACACTGCAACAAGAATGAAGTATGCTGTGCTTTGTTGGAAACTAGAGAGATTTGCAGGGATAGCTTTTCTCTGTTTCCTTTTTTCATGACCCGCTGCATGTGCATGTTGCAGAGAAAGGGGAGCACCCTCCAGAGTCTGGTCTGGGTGTGACCTACTTCTTCCAAGGCCCTTGCGCGTACGCTTGGCATGTTCGAGGTGACCAGGTGGGGATTACAACCATGGCCACCACGTGACACACAGCTTCCCTTGAGTAGCACTTTACTGCTGCGCCATGGAGCTGGCCCACTCCAGGGACATCTTTGACCGTACATACATTTCACTTTTCATACTGAGGGACCAGTAAAAATATAAATTAGCACATTTCTGGAAGATAGTTTTGCAACAGACATTAAAAGGCTTAAAACTGTATTTACTCTAAGATCCCTTCCCATATTTTATTATAAAGAAAATATTATGGGGGCCAGAGGTGGCATGTTGATTAAGGTGTTGGGATTCCCACATGGCTGACCCTGGTTTGAGTCCAGATCCAGTAGCCTGAAAATCACACTGGGGGGACCAGCAGTTAGCGTAATGGCTATGTAGCTCAACTCCCATGTAGCCAACCGTGGTTTGAGTCTCGGACCTGGTGGCTTAAACTCACGCCGGGCGCGTGTGCATGCATGCCCAAGATCCTAAGAGGAGAATAGAGGAGAGGGGATTATGGCATGGCCATTCCCCCTAGGGGGTGATTTCTTCCTTTCTGTCTGTCTCTGTCTTTCTGGCAAGAACACATGCCCTATAGCAAAAACTTCTCAAAAAACAAACAAAATTACACTGGGCACATGTACATGCATGCGTGCATGTGTGAGCCCAAAATCTCAAAAGGAGAATAGGAGAGAAGGGACTGTGGTGTGGCCATCCTCCTAGGGGGTGATCTCTCACTTTCCCTCTCCGTCTCTCTGACAAGTGCACGTGCCCTGTGACAAAAAGCAGAGAAGGACATATTGTGGTAATGGGCAAAGGTTTAGCAATTAGAATGCTCACTGCAGCTCTGTGTATAATGCTGGAAAAAACTGAAATAGCGAACTAGAAACTGATTAAATCTACCTAACAGAATATCATGCCATTTTGGACCAGCAGGTGGTATGGTGGTTAAGGCGCTGCACACTCCCACATGGCTGACCACAGTTCGAGTCCTGGACCTGATGGCTTGCTTTCTCCATTTCCTTTTCTGTCTCCCTCTGGTCAAATTTAAATAAATGAATAAATAAAATTAAATAATTATTAAAAAAAAAAAAAGAGAAAGAATATCATGCCATTTATGGTGCCACAGAATAAAGTTTGCTAATGATTAGTAAGTCAAAAAGGTTACAAAATATGGTATTCAACTGGCTCTGGTTTTGAAAAATAAAGCATGTGTAGGATATGCCCTAAAATATTAAAGAGTAGTCATCTCTGGCAGAGGGAGTCATAGGAATCTCTGTTTTCTTTTTTTCTTTCTCTTTCTCTCTATTATCTATATTTTCTATACATCTACAATGAATGTCTTTGCTAATGAAAACATCTACTATAATAATATATAAGTGGGAGGGACCAGCAGTTAGCGTAATGGCTATGTCGCTGGACTCCCACATGGGTGACCGCGGTTCGCGTCCTGGACCCGGTGGCTTAAACTCATGCCGGGTGTGTGTGCGTGCGTATCCAAGATCCCGAGAGGAGAATGGAGGAGAAGGGATTGTGGCATGGCCATCCCCCCTGGGGGGTGATTTCTCACTCTCTGTCTCTCTGTCTCTCTCTGGCGAGCGCACGCACCCTATAGCAAAAACCTCTAAAAAATAAAAAATAAAAATAATATAGAAATGGGAAAGCTAATTATTACTTCTATAGTTTGTTTTCTGGACAGGCACAATTCTTTCAAAATGTAAAACAAAGAAACCCCTTTCCCTACAGAGGGAAAAAACAGTCGCCTCATGATAGAGAGGAGCCCCACCAGGATCCCAGGGCAGGCCAGGCTACTTGGGGAACGTGGAAGTACTCACGGCCAGCTTCTCCTTGACCAGCCGTGGCTGCGATGGTGCAGGCCGTGTCATGCTGCACAACCTGTGTAAACTCCGTCAGGTCAGGCTTCATGAACTCCAAGGCTTCCGAGGACTGTAGGAAGACAGAGCCAGTTGGTCTCACCACCCTTTGCCTCTGTTCCCTTTGCTTTTTTAGTACCACGCAGAAGCAGGATGTGTAGGTGACAAGGGGAGCCTGGGCTCATAAACGATGCTCACTTGTCCCAATTTCACGGCCTGGGATTCCCTGACAGCAGAGCACAGGGGAACTCCTGCTACTCTGAGCACCAAGACCCGGCCTCTGCCCACAGAGCTCTGTGCCAGGACTAAGTGTCATTTAGGCCTCAGCTTTCTCCTATAAAAGCAGGGAGGTGGACTAGATAGAGATGATTCCCAAAAGCAAATTTTTACATGCTTTAAGTCATGATATTTGTTTCAAATTTAAAATAATACGATTTTCTGGGGCAGTCTCATAGCTTAGTGGTAAAGGGTGGCAGATCCCACATGGTGACGATGGTTAGAACTGCAGGCCGGCAGCTCAGAAGACATATCAGACACACGTGCACGCATGCTCAAAACCCCAATAGGATGGCAAAATGGAGAGGGGGTTGTAGTATGACCATGCCCCACTGGGGGTGCTTTCTCTCTCTCTGGCAAGCACCCTCCAGCAAAAACAAAACAAAACAAAACAAAAACCCAGGAGAATATTATATACATGATTTCTTTTTAAAAAACACTTATTTATTTATTTATTTTATTTAGGCTAGAAATGGAGAAAGTGAGAAAATAAATCACCAGGTCTGGGACTTGAATCCCGGTTGGCCATGTCGGAGTCCAACACCCTTAACCACCAAACCATCTTCTGGCCCTGATTTCTTTTTTTTAGAAGAATCATTTTATTTAACTTTACTTATTATTTTCCAGTTTGATCAGAGAGAGGGAAAATGAGAAAGCAAGTCACCAGGTCTAGGACTTGAACTATATTCAGCTATGTGGGAGTCCTTTATTTTTTTTTATTTTTTATTTTGGAGAGGTTTTCGCTATAGGGCGCGTGCCAGAAAGACAGAGACAGAAAGCAAGAAATTACCCCCTTGGGGGAATGGCCACACCGCAATCCCTTCCCTCCATTCTTTTCTTGGGATATTGGGCATGCATGCATGTGTGCCTGGCATGAATTTAAGCCACCGGGTCCAGGACTTGAAATGCAGTCAACTACATGGGAGTCCAGCAACATAGCCATTACGCCAACTGCTGGTCCCAGTCCAGCACCTTTAACCACCACACTGCCTACTGGCCCCTATGATTTCTTATCAAAGTAAAGTGTTTCTATTTTTGCCTTTTTATTGTTACAGAGAAACTGAGTTGAAGTGTGATGCAGGATATGACTTTTTTTGTCTTGTCTGAGTAATACCAATAGTTTCAAAAACTGTTTTTTCAATTTACATGTGTGTGTCAGGGTGAAACAGAGAGACAAGGAGTGGGGGAAGTAAAAGAGCAATCCCTGTGGGGGATGGTCATATGCCAATCCCTTCTCTGTTTCTCCTTTTCCTCCCTCCCAGATTCTCCTGTGTGGAGTGTTTTTCAAGTCACAGGGGCCAAGATTCTAATGGTGTAGTTGGTCATGTGCGATCCAGCTGCCTTAACCACACCACTGGCTCGCCCTGGAATTATTTTTTTTTTAATTTTAAGAATTATTTTATTTAACTTTATTTATTTAATTTGACCAGAGAGGGAGAGAGGGAAGGAGGGAGAGAAAGAATCAGAAAGCAAGCTGCCAGGTCTAGGACTCGAATTGCATTCAACCATAAAAGCATGTGTAGGATATGCCCTAAAATATTAAAGAGTAGTCATCTCTGGCAGAGGGAGTCATAGGAATCTCTGTTTTCTTTTTTTCTTTCTCTTTCTCTCTATTATCTATATTTTCTATACATCTACAATGAATGTCTTTGCTAATGAAAACATCTACTATAATAATATATAAGTGGGAGGGACCAGCAGTTAGCGTAATGGCTATGTCGCTGGACTCCCACATGGGTGACCGCGGTTCGCGTCCTGGACCCGGTGGCTTAAACTCATGCCGGGTGTGTGTGCGTGCGTATCCAAGATCCCGAGAGGAGAATGGAGGAGAAGGGATTGTGGCATGGCCATCCCCCCTGGGGGGTGATTTCTCACTCTCTGTCTCTCTGTCTCTCTCTGGCGAGCGCACGCACCCTATAGCAAAAACCTCTAAAAAATAAAAAATAAAAATAATATAGAAATGGGAAAGCTAATTATTACTTCTATAGTTTGTTTTCTGGACAGGCACAATTCTTTCAAAATGTAAAATTTTTTTTTCAGAGGGAAAAAACAGTCGCCTCATGATAGAGAGGAGCCCCACCAGGATCCCAGGGCAGGCCAGGCTACTTGGGGAACGTGGAAGTACTCACGGCCAGCTTCTCCTTGACCACGCTGGCCGTGGCTGCGATGGTGCAGGCCGTGTCATGCTGCACAACCTGTGTAAACTCCGTCAGGTCCCGCTTCATGAACTCCAAGGCTTCCGAGGACTGTAGGAAGACAGAGCCAGTTGGTCTCACCACCCTTTGCCTCTGTTCCCTTTGCTTTTTTAGTACCACGCAGAAGCAGGATGTGTAGGTGACAAGGGGAGCCTGGGCTCATAAACGATGCTCACTTGTCCCAATTTCACGGCCTGGGATTCCCTGACAGCAGAGCACAGGGGAACTCCTGCTACTCTGAGCACCAAGACCCGGCCTCTGCCCACAGAGCTCTGTGCCAGGACTAAGTGTCATTTAGGCCTCAGCTTTCTCCTATAAAAGCAGGGAGGTGGACTAGATAGAGATGATTCCCAAAAGCAAATTTTTACATGCTTTAAGTCATGATATTTGTTTCAAATTTAAAATAATACGATTTTCTGGGGCAGTCTCATAGCTTAGTGGTAAAGGGTGGCAGATCCCACATGGTGACGATGGTTAGAACTGCAGGCCGGCAGCTCAGAAGACATATCAGACACACGTGCACGCATGCTCAAAACCCCAATAGGATGGCAAAATGGAGAGGGGGTTGTAGTATGACCATGCCCCACTGGGGGTGCTTTCTCTCTCTCTGGCAAGCACCCTCCAGCAAAAACAAAACAAAACAAAACAAAAACCCAGGAGAATATTATATACATGATTTCTTTTTAAAAAACACTTATTTATTTATTTATTTTATTTAGGCTAGAAATGGAGAAAGTGAGAAAATAAATCACCAGGTCTGGGACTTGAATCCCGGTTGGCCATGTCGGAGTCCAACACCCTTAACCACCAAACCATCTTCTGGCCCTGATTTCTTTTTTTTAGAAGAATCATTTTATTTAACTTTACTTATTATTTTCCAGTTTGATCAGAGAGAGGGAAAATGAGAAAGCAAGTCACCAGGTCTAGGACTTGAACTATATTCAGCTATGTGGGAGTCCTTTATTTTTTTTTATTTTTTATTTTGGAGAGGTTTTCGCTATAGGGCGCGTGCCAGAAAGACAGAGACAGAAAGCAAGAAATTACCCCCTTGGGGGAATGGCCACACCGCAATCCCTTCCCTCCATTCTTTTCTTGGGATATTGGGCATGCATGCATGTGTGCCTGGCATGAATTTAAGCCACCGGGTCCAGGACTTGAAATGCAGTCAACTACATGGGAGTCCAGCAACATAGCCATTACGCCAACTGCTGGTCCCAGTCCAGCACCTTTAACCACCACACTGCCTACTGGCCCCTATGATTTCTTATCAAAGTAAAGTGTTTCTATTTTTGCCTTTTTATTGTTACAGAGAAACTGAGTTGAAGTGTGATGCAGGATATGACTTTTTTTGTCTTGTCTGAGTAATACCAATAGTTTCAAAAACTGTTTTTTCAATTTACATGTGTGTGTCAGGGTGAAACAGAGAGACAAGGAGTGGGGGAAGTAAAAGAGCAATCCCTGTGGGGGATGGTCATATGCCAATCCCTTCTCTGTTTCTCCTTTTCCTCCCTCCCAGATTCTCCTGTGTGGAGTGTTTTTCAAGTCACAGGGGCCAAGATTCTAATGGTGTAGTTGGTCATGTGCGATCCAGCTGCCTTAACCACACCACTGGCTCGCCCTGGAATTATTTTTTTTTTAATTTTAAGAATTATTTTATTTAACTTTATTTATTTAATTTGACCAGAGAGGGAGAGAGGGAAGGAGGGAGAGAAAGAATCAGAAAGCAAGCTGCCAGGTCTAGGACTCGAATTGCATTCAACCATACATGAGTCCAGCGCCCTTAACTACCATGCCACCTGCCAGCCCCAGCCCTAGAATTACTTATGAGTAATTCATGGCAACTTAATACCAATAAAAAGATACGTGATTTTTACATTCAACAAAGAGAGGAAGGGGGCAAGAGAAATACTAGATCAGGATACCAGGAGATGGTATGGAGGTTGAGGCAGCTGGATTCCACATGGTTGACTGTACAGTTCGAGTCCTGGACCTAGTGGCTTGAAAACACACCAGGTCATGTGTGTGTGTACCCAAAACCCTGAGAGGGGAATGAAGGAGAAAGGATTGTGGCATGGTCGTCCCCTCTGGGGGTGATTTCTCACTTTCTCTCTCTCTCTGTGTCTCTCTGGTAAGTGCATGTGCCTTACAACAAATTAAAAAAGAAGGGACCAGCAGTTAGCGTAATGGCTATGTCGCTGGACTCCCATGTAGTCGACCGCGGTTCGAGTCTAGGACCTGGTGGCTTAAACTCACGCCGGGTGCGTGTGCGTGCGTGCCCAAGATCCTGAGAGCAGAATGGAAGAGAAGGGATTGCGGCGTGGCCATCCCCCCGGGGGGTGATTTCTCGCTTTCTGTCTCTCTGTCTTTCTGGCAAGCGCACGTGCCCTAT